GTTCCATTCCATCCTTGTATTTTATTATCATTTCTACCAGTTCCATTCCATCCTTGTATAATTTTCATTGTGTAGAAATTGAATCTTCTGAAATTATTTCTGTGTTATCTTTCCTCTCACATTGACATCTTTTTGCGTTCTGGGGAATGTCCCAATAGTGATATCCTATGATTCAGTTTTGTCTTTTTCATCAGTGTTTATTCAGATTTTTCTTTATCTTGGGTTCTATTTCTTTTTTATTAAAAAAGGAATGTGCACCATGGTTTTGGACTTTTGTCTTATGTAGTAATAGTTCAGTCAATTTTTACCTCTATATTTTTGGGGGCCATTTTCTTGCATAGCAGTTATATCCTTCCCCCCCACCCCCCAGTGAAAGTTAAAGAAGTTCAGTATGTAAAAGGGATATATGAAAGAACTGTTCTATTTAAACATTAGTAATGTGGTGCATATCTATTCAGGATTCAATCTCTCTATGCCTTGCCTTGCCTACCTCAGGGTGTTTTACAGAATCGATTTTGAAAAATCGAGGGGAAAAGTACAACTCATGCTATTCTGCTATTTCATAAATCTCATTTTGTTTGTTTAATATGTAGCAGTCCTACTGAAACCAACAACAGTTTCATTTATGTTCTTTGGCATGTTGATTTCAGGAATGAAAGGGACACCAAAGCCTTTTCCCCTTTATAAAAAGACCTTTCTATTGTGAAATGCTTCCATTCTTTTCTGACTAACACTTTTTCTTACTGTGTGTGTCATTGTAGTTAATTGAATATTCCTAGAGACTTGATCCCATTGGAGGCAGTTTTTAGTTTTTATTTATGTTGTGGTAGAGTTGGTTTACAGTGCTGTGTCGGGTCTCAGGCGTACAGCAGAGTGATTCAGTTGTGCACACACACATGTCCAGACTTCCCTGGTGGCTCAGACGGTAAGGCGTGTGTCTGCAGTGCGGGAGACCTGGGCTCCATCCCTGGGTCGGGAAGGTTCCCTGGGGGAGGAAAGGCAACCCACTCCAGTACTCTTGCCTAGCAGATCCCGTGGACGGAGGAGCCAGGTGTCCATGGGGTCGAAAAGAGTCAGACACGGCTGAGTGACTTTGCTTTATGCACATAGCCGTTCTTTTTCAGATCCTTCTACCATACAGGTTATTACATACTGTGCTATACAGTAGGTCTTTGTTGATTATTTATTTTGTATGTAGTAGTGTGTATATGTTAATCTCAAAGTCCTAATTTTTCCTGCCTCTAAATTTTCTTGCTTTTCTTTGGCCATTCTGCTTATGGAATCTCAGTTCCCCAACCAAGGATTGAACTCAGGCCATGAATGTGCCAAATCCTAATTGCTGGACCACCAGGGAATTCCCTCTCTCCCTCTGATTTTTAAAGTTACTTTTTGGTGTACCCTAGATGGTGGAATGCATTCTCTTGGTGGTCAGAGGAATGTTGGTAGTGGACTGGTGAAGTGGTATTAAAGACCCAATCCTTGTTCTATTCTGTAGTATATCAACAATGGTCAGGTCAGTTAGGGTAGGCTTAAGTTTTCTGTTATATCTGTGTTTCATCATATTAGAAAATGTAGTGTTATTCTCAACATAAAATAATAAATAGCCACCTGTAATCCTACTACCATGACTATAACTACTGCTAACATTTGATCTTTGTTTTTCTAGGTTTAGATTTCTTCCTGCTACCACATCCTCACCAGCACTTGGTGGTGCCAGTTTTTGGATTTTTGTCAGCCATTCTAAAAGGAATTTGCAACTCCCAGTGATACTGAATGTCTTTTCATATGCTTGTTTGCCATCTGTATATTTTCTTTGGTGAGGTGTCTGTTTAGATCTTTTGCCCATTTTTAAATTAGTTTTTCTTTAACTTAATTACTTTTTGGCTGTGCCCCATGGCATGTGGGATCTTAGTTTCCCACCAGGGATCAAACCTATGCTTTCTGCATTGGAAGCATGGAGTCTTAACCACTGAACCACCAGGGAAGTCCCTGCTTTGTTTTTCTTATTGTTGCATTTTAAGGGTTCTTTGTATATTTTGGATACCGTTCCTTTATCAGTTATATGTTTTGCAGAAATTTCCTCCCAGTCTGTAACTTGGCTTTTCATTTTCTTAATAGTGCTTTTGAGAAGTGGAAGTTTTTAATTTTAATTAACTCCAACTTATCAATGTTTCCTTTAATGGACTGTACATTTGGTGTTATGTCTAAAAAGCTATCACCACACCCAGAATCACCTGGATTTTCTCTTGTTTTATTCTCTAGGAGTTTTTTTTTTTTTTTTGAATTATTATTCTTTACTTTTTTTTTTTTTTTTTACATGTATTCCCCATCCCGGTCCCCCCTCCCACCTCCCTCTCCACCCAATCCCTCTGGGTCTTCCCAGTGCACCAGGCCCGAGCACTTGTCTCATGCACCCAACCTGGGCTGGTGAACTGTTTCACCCTAGATAATATACGTGTTTCAATGCTGTTCTCTTGAAACATCCCACCCTCGCCTTCTCCCAGAGTCCACAAGTCTGTTCTATACATAGGAGTCTCTTTTTCTGTTTTGCACATAGGGTTATCGTTACCATCTTTCTAAATTCCATATATATGTGTTAGTATACTGTAATGGTCTTTATCTTTCTGGCTTACTTCGCTCTGTATAATGGGCTCCAGTTTCATCCATCTTCTAGGAGTTTTATAATTTCACATTTGTGATCCATTTTAATTTTTGTGAAAGGTATAAGGTCTCTGTCTAGATATTTTTTTTTGCATGCAGGTATTCTCCTCTTCCAGCATTGTATATTGAACTGACTCTCCTTTCTCCTTTGAAATTGCCTTGCTTCTTTGGCAAAGATCAGTTGACTCTATTTGTAATGTATATTAGTTTCCTAGGGCTTCCATAACAAAGTACCACGAACTTGGGTGTCTTAAAGCAACAGAAGTTTATTATTCACAGTTTTGGAGGTTAGAAGTCTGAAAAGGTGTTAACAGGGTCATGCTCTCTTTGAAACCTGTAAGGAAATGATCCTTCCTTGCTGCTTCTAGCTTCTGGTATTTGCTGGCAATCCTTGTCATTCCTTGGCTTATAGAAGCATCAGTTTTTGAACCTTTAGGTTTCTAGGTGTTTTTTCCCTGTTAGAAGATGGTGCTGAAATTTCTTATGCACTATTCTTTTGTATATTTGTTGAATATTAGTTCAGTCGTGTCCGACTCTTTGCAAGCCCATGGATTGCAGCACACCAGGCCTCCCTGTCCATCACCAGCTCCTGGAGCTTACTCAAACTCGTGTCCATTGAGTCAGTGATGCTATCCAACCATCTCATCCTCTGTTGTCCCCTTCTCCTCCCGCTCCAGTCTTTCCCAGCATCAGAGTCTTTTCAAATGAGTCCATTCTTCGCATCAGGTGCCAAATTATTGAAGTTTCAGCTTTCGCATCAGTCCTTCCAGTGAACACCCAGGACTGATCTCCTTTAGGATGGACTGATTGGATCTCCTTGCAGTCCAAGGGACTCTCAAGAGTCTTCTCCAACACCACAGTTCAAAAGCATCAATTCTTTGGCGCTCAGCTTTCTTTATAGTCCAACTCTCAAATCCATACATGGACTACTGGAAAAACCATAGCCTTGACTAGACGGACCTTTGTTGGCAAAGTAATGTCTCTGCTTTTTAATATGCTGTCTAGGTTGATCATAACTTTTCTTCCAAGGAGCAAGTGTCTTTTAATTTTATGGCTGCAGTCACCATCTGCAGTGATTATGGAGCCAAAAAAATAAAGTCTGTCACTGTTTCCACTGTTGAATATTAATCTCAGGATAAATTCTGGAAATGGAATTGAAAGTCATAGGGTATTTAAATTTTGAAGGTTTCATGTGTGTTTAGTAACATAACTCTTCTAACCTAGGTTGCTGAGTTAAAGGTTGGTTTTACCATGGCCTGCTATTCTTGGATTAGGAATTGTTAGTGGAAAATATGAATGAATTTGATTCATCTAATTTCAAGTTGTAGATCAGTGTTTCTCTTTTTAGGATCTTTTTGTTTTGTTTTGGCCAAAACCTTTTGGTGTGCAGAACTTGCCCAACCAGGGACCAACTCCATGCCCCGGGTGATGAAATTGCAAGTCTTAACCATTGGACCACAAGGGAAGTCCCTAGATCCATGTTTCTGAAACTTTATCCTCTGATGTAGGAGTTCGTAGAAACCCCTTCCAAATTCTGACATGTGCTCTTGTCATGTATTTTTACTTCTGTAGAAGCTTGCTTTCTTGAACCCTTTAATGTGAGAACTAGGGTATGGCAAGGACTAAAGGGGAGAGGGAATATTGATCATTCTGCATAAGCACTATTTTAGGGATAACCCCTGAGAACTTCTTTTGCTCCTTGTGCGTAATTGGTGTACAGCTCTTTGTCATCTTCATTGTATTAGCTCGCTCTACAGATTTTTCAGGGATAGAGGTTCACCAGCTATTCCAGCGAGTTTTTTCCACATACTTAGAATTATATGCTTTTGAAATAACAAAAATGCTTGTAAAAATATTGGAACGTTTGTTAGATGAAAAAAGTCTAGTTTGTCAGAAATACAGATTTAGCAGATTATCTTGTGTAAAATAGTCCAAGTTAATAATCTAAACTGCAGATCATTATTGAGTATATAATGCTTACATAATTTATGGTGAAGCACCGTAGAGAATGCAAAGAAAGATGCATGGCTGTTTAACAAAAATTTTGCATTGTAGATGAGAATGTACAACACTCACAGATTAAAATATGAATCAGAATTTTCATAAGGCTCTGCTCATTGGCCAAGGTGATTTGGAGAAGAATGTTGAAAGAATTTACCTGAAATATTTTCATTCATTGTCTTCTCATTTTAGGATTAACATTTAAAAGACGATTTCTGTGATTGACTTGTCTTTTGGAAGATTAAACCCATATCAAGAGGACTTGGAGCTGGTCCTCGCCTAAAGGAAGCAGTGGCTTATTTTCAAAAAGCCACTTCTCATCTAAGGATCTACTCAGCATGCCTAACCAAGGAGAAGACTGCTATTTTTTTTTCTATTCTACTTGTACTAAAGTAAGAATTGGCATCTCTAAATCAGTTCTTTCTATGATTTCCCTAATAAAATTGAATAAAATTTTCCCAGTATACCAAGTTGTCTTTTGTATTTTGCTCAACTGTTTATTTGCTGTCAATTTTTTAGTAAAGGATAGCATTCCTAAGGGAATTCATTACTCATCGTTTTTTTCCTGTTCATCTTGTTCTCCATACTCTCCAGAAGTAAAAAGATCCATAGCATTTAGTCATCATTCAGTGTTCTTATAGCTATAATTAATCTGTTCAGGGTGCTTTTCAGGAATTAGGAACACTTGGCTGTGGCTTGCTAACTTTGATGTTTGTGTAGTAAATTTGTTTTGTAGTAAATGAATGGGTGGATTGTATTGTATTTATAGAATTGTCATGGATTGAATTTGACTTCTGTCTCCAGATAGCCTGCTGAATCCTAAAGCCACTTTTCTAAATATGCTTTTGCAGGTTTATTAGAGCTTTTTTCTTTGTTGGAGCTTCCTGTATTTCAGCTTGTTCTTCTGCAGCTCCATTTAGATTTACCCATTATTTTCTGTTATTCCTTTATGACTGATTCTATACATGTGTCTGTCTCCCCTCCCCAGTATTTTTCTTAAATCATTTTGGTGCTATATTTAAAATTGTTAGTTTTGAGCAAAGCTTTGATTTTAGGTAACAAGTTGCAGAACAGTGACATTTTGTTTCAAATAGTAGCATTGTATGAAATTTATAGTGAGACATGGAATTATACTTAAATACTAATCTATTTACTTTCTAATTTTCCATTTAAAGCTAGTTATACAAGTCAGGATATATGAAATGGTTTTGAAGATTAACTGTAAAACATATTTTTTTAAGGGTACCTAATATTCCCACTTGTATTTTTGACCCCATCTCTCAGCTTTTATCATTCATGTTGTCAGATCAGATAAAAGATACTATCAAGAAATAGGTTTTAGGAAATTAAAAATTTCTTGACCTCAGATTGTTCTTATCACCCCATTTCAGTTGTTTTCTACCTTGCCTGTCTCTCCTTACTCTTCTGTGTTTGTCTAGATACCAAGAAGCTTAGAGTGAGCATTTTGCTTGGGGGCTGGTTCGATACCACAGTTCTTTTCTGTATTATTTTTGTTTACAGGGTGACAGCTGTCCATTCCGTCACTGTGAAGCTGCCCTGGGAAATGAAACTGTTTGCACATTATGGCAAGAAGGACGCTGTTTTCGACAGGTGTGCAGGTTTCGGCACATGGAGATTGATGTAAGTCTTCAGTTTGTGTTTTAGTAAGTAGTCTTGGGTCCTGATGGGACAATAAAAAGTATGGCAGTAAAAAACATTTTATATAACGTGGGTTACATTCTTTTTTAATGACCTGGTGAAATTTCTGTCATTAGTAAAATGCTCACTTATTATCGAGATGCTTTATGGTATGAATTAGTGTCATTTCATAAAGGCCGTTTGGTAATCTGTCTAAAGTGTAAAAATTATTCATGTATATTTAGGGAGTATTTATATTTCTGTGTTTATTTTAAAATAGTCTGAACTTAGAGAAAAGTTGCAAGTATAGTATGATACTTTCCTCTAAACCATTTAGGGTTAAATACTTTCATGACTGTTTCCTACAAACACAAAGGATATTCTCTCACATAACTGTGATAAACCATCAAAATTAGAATATTAACATTTATATTATATATTACTCTCATTGAATTCTCAGCTCCCATTCAGGTTTTGCCCTTGAACTGGTGGCGTTCTTTATTGCAATAGGAGTGAGTCCAGAATCATGTGCTGCATCTAGTTGTCATAGTGATTTGGCCTTCTGTCTAGAACAGTTGATCAGTTTTTTCTTGCTTTTCATTGACCTTACATTTTTGGTCACTATAGGACAGTTATTTTGTAGAATGTTCCTCACTTTGGGTTTTATCTAATACTTCCTCATTGCTAGTTGAAGTCGCTCAGTCGTGTCTGACTCTTTGCGACCCCATGGACTTGTAGCCTACCAGGCTCCTCCGTCCACGGGATCTTCCAGGCAAGAGTACTGGAGTGGGTTGCCATTTCCTTCTCCAATCCTCATTGCTAAATTCAGATCTTATATTTTTGGCAGGAATATCACAGAGGTGATATTCTTCTCATTGCTTACCATTGAGTGGTGTACAATTTTAATTATCCCATTACTGATGTTAACTTGCACCACTTCATTAAGGTGGTAGCCACCAGATTGCTTCACTATACATTTTTTTTTTGTAATTAAGTATATTTTGGAAAGGTACTTTGAGACCTTGTAATTATCCCATTTCATATCAAATTTTGAATGAAGTTTTTTCCCCCAGCTTTTTATGTGTGACCTCAGTGATTTCCTGTTTTATTCAGTGTGTTATATGCCATTACTATCATTTTTTCTTCCTCAGGTTGATGTTTGGCCAATAAGAGCCCTTAAAGCTGATTTCTGTATCTTTTTGATGTTTCCATCCTTCTTTGAATACTCTTCACTTTCCGGCCTAACAAGATTATCCAGGTTCTCTACTTGTTTCCCCACCCTGCTCGTTCTCTGACTACACGACTCCCACTCAGGAAGATCCTGCCTTCCTCACCCTGCCTAGTCTTTGATGCCCCTTCTAGGCTGACCTCCTCACCCTGTAATGAGATGGCTTCTGCACGGAAGCCTTCGCACCCTTCTCAGGCTCCAGCATTGTGCTGGCCCTCCTCCGACACATGCTTTGCTAGCCCTGGCAGCTTGTGCCAGGCCCACTTGGTCCCGTGGCTGCCTTCCTCGTCTCAGTCAGCCTCCACCACGCTGCTCTGGGCCTCTTGCCCTTCCTCTCCCAGCATGCACGCCTCCTCTCTCAGCCTCACATTCTGACTTTGTGAATTGTTTGAGAAGGGGTGGGGAAAGAAGAAAGAGCCTAATTATGCAGTTTGTAGGTCTGCGGTTATGTAACCACTCCATTCTGGTTTCAGCTGAGTACCTGGTGGCTCAGTGGTAAACAATCGCCTGCCTGTGCAAGAGACATGGGTTCGATTCCTGGGTCAGGAAGATCCCCTGGAGAAGGAAATGGCAACCCACTCTAGTATTCTTGCCTGGGAAATCCCACGGACAAAGGAGTCTGGTGGACTGCAGTCCATGGGGTTGCAAAGAGTTGGTCATGACTTAACAAATAGACAACAACATTCTATGCTGTCTTCCAAATAGCGGATTCACTAAGTATGTTCAGAAAAAGAAATGCTCTTGCAGCTTTTGAAAAATCCTGCTGTAACATTGTAAGCAGAATAAACTGGCACAACTCTTAGGAAAGCTGTGCCAGTCTCTAAGAGCATACATTAGATTGGTGTGAACTTAAAGCTGTTTCAGACTGTGAATTTTAAATCATTATAACTAGCCTGAAACACATCTTTATTAATCAAAATAGGATTAATTACAATCAACACATTTTGCCAATGAGAAATAAATTGTTTCAGGATTTGATGAATTCTTGGAAAACATTTTCTGCGTCCTGCTGATTGTGGAAGCATTCTCTGTGCAAAAAGTTGTCAAGATGCTTGAAGGAAGTGATGGTTGGCGAGAGGTCAGGTGAATATGGTGGATGAGGCAAAACTTCATAGCCCAATTTGTTCAACTTTTGAAGTGTTGCTTGTGCAACGGTTGGGTGTTGTTGTGGAGAAGAATTGAGCCCTTTTTGTTGACCAGTGCTGGCTGCAGATGTTGGAGTTTTTTGTGCATCTCGTTGATTTGCTGAGCATACTTCTCAGATGTAATGGTCTTACCAGGATTCAGAAAGCTGTAGTGGGTCAGACTGGCAGCAGATCACCAGTGTCCATGACCTTTTTTTTGGTGCAAGTTTAGCTTTGGGAAGTGCTTTGGAGCTTCTCCTCCGTCCAGCCGCTGAGCTGGTCAGCCTCAGTTGTATAAAATCCACCTTTTGTTGCTTGTCCCAACATGATCAAGAAATGGTTTGTTGCTGCATAGTATGAGAGAAAACAACACTTCAGAACAGTGATATTTTTGATTTTCGGTCAGATCACAAGGATCCCACTCTTCAAGCTTTTTCACCTTTCCAATTTGCTTCAAATGCCGAACGACCATAGAATGATCACCTTTGAGTTCTTTGGAGGGTCAACTTTAATATCTCAGTTGGTCATTGTCAACTTCTGAGCCAGCTACTCCGATCCTCATCTTCAAGGCTTTTGTCTCCTTTGCACAATGTCTTGAACCATTTCATACACCATTGCACTGTATGTTTGTTAGCAGTTCCTGGGCCAAATGCGTTGTTGATGTGAGTTGTCTCCACTGCTTTATGACCCATTTTGAACTTGAATAAGAAAATCACTTGAATTTGATTTTTGTCTAACATCATTTCCCTAGTCTAAAATGTAAAATAAACAGCATATAAAAAGTCATTAGCAGAAAGACATAAAGTGAGAAATGCACATTACAATTATGTATAACATAATCACATTTATTTAAGAATATATTCCGTGTGAAACGGCAACTTTCAGCAATACAAAAACCGCAATTTTGCATCAACCTAATACATTTGGAATTCTCTAGAAAACTCACGGGACTTAGCATATGGCTTATGCATGCATTCATTCATGCATGTGTGTGTGCTCGGTCACGTCTGACCTCTTGAGACCCCATGAACTGCAGTCTGCCAGGGTTCTCTGTCTGTGGGATTTTCCAAGCAAGAATACTGGAGTGGGTTGCCGTTTCCTCCTCCAGGGATCTTCCTGACCCAGGGATTGAATATATATCTCCCACGTTTCCTGCATTTCATGTGAATTCTGATTTATTACAGTGATAGAGTAAGGATACACTGATTATAAAAGAAAAAGATAGTCATAGTCTGGAGTTATTCATACATGCGTTTCTTTTATGATCTCTACATGAGGGGTCACAAAGAACACACACTTCCCCCAGCAGTGAAAATGCAGCAGTACGTGTGCATGTTTTTGCTCTGGGAAGCCCATTATATGGGGCTTCCCTGGGGCTCAGTGGGTAAAGAATCTGCCTGCAATGCGGGAAACTTAGGTTCAGTCCCTGGGTCCTTAAGCAACAGAATGATTCCATATTTGTTAATTAAATACTTATGGTAGTTTTATAGTACATAATCTACTGCAGATGGGCAGTAGATGATGGGCATTCACTGTGTATCTTTGGACCAGCTCTATGTCTTTGAACCATGTGTTATATATATGGCTTTTTTTAAAAGCTAAAGAAATAATCATGTAGGAGAATGTTACTATGAGGATGTGTTGCTAAGTGAAAATGTACAGAATTATATGGAAAACCTTTCTTTTAAGTGTGAATCAATACATTTTACAGTTTTTTTTTTTTAAGAATTCTATAACAAAATAAGTGACTCACTGTGTAATGGCATAATAGGTATTTTATTTTCCAAGTCATCTTTATTGTTTGTGTATTACTTTTTATTTTGAAATAAAATTCAGTAATGGTATTAAACATGTTAAATGAATGTCCTGTGACTTCAGTTTAAAGATAATGCTATCATAGTAATCATCCAGTAATTTGAAGGTTGCTTTTAGGAAAGAAGCAAAGACAGATCCAGGAGCAGGGAAGATTGGCATTAGGTGCTACCTCAAGAAGTAGTTGGATACTTGTTATTTTAAAGAGCAGTGGTAGCTTTTTAAAAATAAACACTTATTTATGTGTTTATGTGTTTATGTACTTATTTATTTGGTTGCACTTCCTGGTGATAACAGTGGTAGCACTTGGTAGCTTCATGAGTTTCCCTGGTAACTCAGCTGGTTACAGATTCAGTCTTGAATCTGCCTACAGTGCGGGAGACCTGGGTTTGATCCCTGGGTTGGGAAGATCCCCTAGAGAAGGGAATGGCTAGTCACTCCAGTATTGTGGCCTGGAGAATTCCATGGACTGTGTATCGTCCATGGAGTCCCAAAGAGTTGGACAGGACTGAGCAACTTTCACTTCACTTTTCATTTGGTTGCTTGGGGTCTTTGTTGCTCCTCATGGGTTTTCTTTAACTGCGGTGAGTGGGGCTACTCTTCATCGCAGTACACAGGCCGCTCAATGCGGTAGCTTCTCTTGTTGCCGAGCACAGGCTTTAGCACTTGTAGCACATGGACTCTAGAGCATGGACTCAATAGTCATGGCACATGGGCTTAGTTTGCTCCACAGCACGTGGAATCTTCCCAGACCAGGGATCAGGCTCATGTCCCCTGAATTAGGCGGATTCTTACCCACTGTACCACCAGGGAAGTGCAGTTGTAGCTATTATACCTAACTTTTAAGGGTAACAGGATACTAATAAATACTATCCAGTTCTTTCAAAGACAGAGTTGTTTGCTATATTTTTTTAAAACGTGACAGTAAGTGTAGGACATAACTCTTTTCCATTGTTGTTGCTCAATCATGTGTGATTCTGCAACCCCATGGACTGTGGCTTGTCCGGCTTCTCTGTTCTTCACTATCTCCTACAGTTTGCTCAAACTCATGTCCATTGAGTCAGTGATGTCATCCAACCATCTCATCCTCTGTCATCCCCTTCTCTTCCTGCCCTCAATCTTTCTCAGCATCAGGATCTTTTCCAATGAGTTCGGGGCTCTTGGCTCTGCATCAGGTGACCAAAGTATTGGAGCTTCAGCATCAGTCCCTCCAGTGAATATTTAGAGTTGATTTCCTTTAGGATTTGACTGGCTGACCTTGCTATCCAAGGGACTCTAAAGAGTCTCCTCCAAAGAATCCATTCTTCAGTGTTCAGCCTTCATTATGATCCAACTACCACATCCGTACATGACAACTGGAAAAACAATAGCTTTGACTATATGAACCTTTGTTGGTAAAGTGATGTCTCTGCTTGTTAGTACACTGTCTAGGTTTGTCATAGCTTTTCTTCCAAGGAGCAAACATCTTTTAGTTTCATGGCTGCAGTCACTGTCTGCAGTGATTTTAGAGCTCAAGAAAGTAAAGTCTATCACTGTTTCCATTGTTTGCCCATCTATTTGCCTTGAAGTGATGGGACTGGATGCCATGATCTTATTAGTTTTTTTGAATGTTGAATTTTAAGCCATCCTTCTCACTCTCCTCTTTCACTTTGATCAAGAGACTCTTTACTTCCTCTTCACTTTCTGATTAGAGTGGTATCATTTGCATATCTGAGGTTGTTGATTTTTCTCCCAGCATTCTTGATTCCAGCTTGTGCTTCATCTAACCTCGCATTTCACATGATGTACTCTGCATGTAAGTTAAATAAGCAGTGTGACATAATTTTTACCAAATCACCTTTCAGAGATGTTGAGGTAGTTTACGTTTCTGTTATCAGTATGTGGGACTCATGATTCTTCCACATTCCTACTGACACAGTGTATTATCAAATTATCAATCTCTCAGTATAGCAGATATTGGGATCATTGCCCTTCTTGATACCTTTAAGGTTCTTTTTGTTTTGGGCGTTGTTTCTCTTATTTGTTTCTTCCATATTGAAAAACAGAAGTTTTTGAATAGTGCTGCTGTTCTTGCCTTGAAATTTAAAGCTTATGCTGCTTATTATGAGAGATCTAACATAATGCAGGTTATTAATCAGACATTAATTACTTTTCAGAAGTGCTTATCAGGACTTTTTTTTTTATTGAGTTCTATAGAAATGTGCACAAATCATTATCTTACATGTCGAATTTTCATTAAGTGAGTATACCTAATTGACCAGCACCCAGATCATGAAATAGAACATTTCCAACCCTGTCTTCCCCCTCTATCTCCTCATTGTCATTTACCACAATCCCAAAACTAGTCACCATCTTGACCATTCTACCATAGTAAAGTTTTGCCTGTTTGGTTTTTCCATAAATAGAATCATACAGTATGTGCTCTTTTGTGTAGCTTCTTTGATTTTGCACCCATGATATTGTTTATTCCCTCTCATTACTGGATAGCATTGTATTTTATGAATATACTGCAAAGTATTCCAGAATGTATATACTGGAATGTATCCATTCTAGTGTTGCTATACATTTGCCTTGTTTCCATTTCGGAGCTCTTTTTAATAGTGTTGTTTTGAAATTCTGTATATACATCTAATGTAATGTCTATGTTAGAACTAATATGTGTTTCTCTTGGACATATATCCTATGATCCAGCAAATCATTCTATTTTTGTTTTTCTTGTTCCCTTTTATAAAAGCAAGGTAGCTTGGGAGGTAAACCTTTCTAGTGTGTTACATGAGCCTTTGAGAAGTCACAAATGGGAAGAATTTTTTTATCCAAGTCTTGAACTCTCAGCTTCAGATAACAACTGCAGTTTATTGACTCTTCTATCGCTAAGTGCTTCTTGTACATCATTTCATTTATTTCTCATAAGAAACTGATAGCTACTGTACTCCCATTTTATAGCTGAGGAAAGTGAGACTAAGAGGTATTATTTATCTGACATTACATGGTCAGTAAGTAATACAATAGAGAATCAAACACTATTATCCTGGACTCCATAATCTCACCTACCCTAGTACCTTACTTTTCAAAATTAAGTATGGACATTTAGGATGAGGGCAAGGAGGAAAGAACAGCAAAGTTCTTCCCGGCTCTTTCATTTCTCCGTCATGCTAGGATATGTCACTTTCAGCAACCCCTTTTCCTCATACTCAAAATCATTTCACATGCCTCAGATTTTTTACTCTTGTGTGAACTTTGTCCAGAAAACATGACCAAATTAATACAGGTCACACTGATGTCTTTTTCCTCTTACAGAAAAAACGCAGTGAGATTCCTTGTTATTGGGAAAATCAGCCAATGGGATGTCAGAAACTAAACTGTGCTTTCCATCACAACAGAGGACGTTATGTTGATGGCCTTTTCCTACCTCCAAGCAAAAGTGAGTTTCGTTTTTTTAATTTTAAAAGGCTAGTTGCTATATGATGAACGCCTACATGCATATATAGAGTACTGTAAACATTGCCATCTCTGTAGTCTTGTGAGAGAGCAGTTTTATTTTCACTTCAGATGAGGAAACTGAACTTTATTAAGGTTAAATGACTTGTGCACAGTCATAAGCCAATAAAGTAGCAGTCATGATTAAAACTTTGTTGACAAAAGCTGTGCTGCTTCACAAATGTTTCTTGGCATGGCAGTTTAGGTTACTTTAGCTTACCTCATTTCCCATTGTCTTATCATGCTTACAGAGATTTTCAAAAGAAACTTGATTCTTCAGGCCAGGGGTTGGCAATCCTGGTCTTTCACCTGTATTACAAAGTAAAATTTTATTGAAATGAAGCCCTGCCCGTTTGTTTACATATTTTCTATGGCCAAATTTTGTGCTAATGCTGCAGAGTTGAGTAGTTGAGACACACATCTACAATGCTTAAAATATTTACTGTATACTTCTTTATATTAAAAAATTTGCTTATCCTGCTCTCGGGTATAATCTAAAATAAAACTTACACTCTGTCAAAAGCTAGTATTTATTTCCTTTTAAAGTAATTTCCTAGTGGAGTGATCAGCCATTTAAAACCCACATCTGCTGTGTGATTAAAATCTGATAGCTGTATATTTTTATCTTCTTTAAGGGGAAAAAAGTCTCACTCCTTTCTGATTTGATTCAAAAGTATTACCCACTGTCCTTTAAAAAGCTGCTTCTTGATCCTACAGCCTAGAATTTCAGTATTAAAATGTAATGTCTAGAATGTGTAAATAATTACTATGCATCTAGCTTTTATTCGCCTGAGTACCCACTTTGTGTTTACATGGAGTGAATAGTTTTTAGCTAGAAGCCACATTTTCCTTCCTGGAAGTTTAGAACCTAATTGGGGAAATTAAAAATTTAATTAAAAGACATACATTAAAAAAGATAGTGTTCAAATCACCAAGCTTATTATAGATAGTTGGAGATTTTTTGATGAATTGGGACTTTTTTTTTTTTATTTACAACTAATTTTTTATGTCTAGCTGTGTTGCCCACTGTGCCTGAGTCACCAGAAGAGGAAGTGAAAGCTAGCCAGCTCACAGTTCAGCAGAGCAAATTATCTGTTCAGTCTAATCCCTCTCCTCAGCTGCGAAGTGTTATGAAAGTAGAAAGTTCAGAAAACGTCCCCAGCCCTACACACCCACCAGTGGTGATCAATGCTGCAGACGATGACGAAGACGATGACGGTGAGCTTTAGCTCTTTCTTTAGGACAAGTAAACGACCAGGGTAACTTAGTGAGTTAGCATCAGATTTGAAACTCTACATCTGTTTTTTAATTGGAAATTTGCCTTAAATGTTGACAATATAGATCAGTTTTCTGAGGAAGGTGATGAAACCAAAACACCTACCCTGCAACCAACTCTCGAAGTTCATAATGGATTACGAATGACTTCTACCCGGAAACCTGGGGTCAATTTAAAACAAGGTAAGAAGGGGCTATTTTGAAGCTAGTTTCTGCTCATAAATCTTACAGCACTATTGAATATGTCCAGACTATTTTAAATACCTTTGAAATTTAGTTCATGATTACCAGCACCTCCCTCTTCCTTGTGTCCGTTACACTCATTCACACACACACAGTTACATATCCTTTCTCTTCTTCATTGAGAAAACATTTGAATGCCAGATGTGTATGTACAAATAAAATGCAAGGGTGAAATAGTGCTAGTTCCTCACGTGGTTGCTATTTGTTCCTAGGTGAAAGTTTGAATTTTGGAATAAAAACTCTTGAAGAAATTAAATCAAAGAAAATGAAGGAAAAATCAAAGAAGCAAGGTGGTGAGTTTTCAGGAGTTTTGACATGGAGGATTGAATGTTGCTAGAGAAGACTAAAAAGATACTTGGCACCAACCAAAATGAGCAAATAGATTTTGATTTTTGTGGCTTGTTTGAATTAAAACATAGTCTTATTTAAATCATAGTTGCCTTTTTAAACCGTTGCAGCTGTGTTTCAGTCCCTAACTATTCAGAGCTAGGCACATACAATAAAAAACCTGAAAGAACTTGTTTATTTTGAGAAATATAACTCTATAAAGAGTAGCATATAAATGCTTCTTTTTTTTTTTTTTTTGCTACATTGCATGGCTTGCAGGATCTTGGTTCCCTGACCAGGGATTGAACCCATGTGCCCTGCAGTGACAGCTCAGAGTCCTAACCACTGAACCTCCAGGGAATTCCCTAAACGATTATTAAAAGAGGAAAAACTTTATTTTGTAGTAGGTGAATTCTTCCTCAGGAACTGCTAGAATTTTCTTCTAGTGCTTGCCTTAGTTTGGTTGATCTGTGTTTCATATTAGGTTAGTGCAAAAGTAATTGCGATTTTACATTGTTGAACTTTGCTGTTTGATATTGGGATACATTCTTAAATGTGTGTTATACATCATTTTAATGTTCATTTCTCAGTTTGTTTTTTGCTAGTGACTTATTACTTGCTATGTATTTAATATTTATTTTTAGACTAGGGAAATGGTGTTAGACAAAAAGCAGATTCAAGTGATTTTCTTAATCCAAGTTCAAAATGAGTCATAAAGCAGCAGAGTCAACTCTCAGTATCAGCAACACGTTTGGCCCTGGAACTGCTAACAAGCATACAGTGCAGTGGTGGTTCAAGAAGTTTTGCAAAGGAGACTTGAAAATGAAGATCATAGTGGACAGCTATCAGAAGTTAACAGTGGGGATCGGGATGGGGAATACATGTAAATCAATGGCTGATGCATGTCAATGTATGACAAAAACCACTACAATATTATAAAGTAATTAGCCTCCAACTAATAAAAATAAATGAAAAAAAAAAAAGAAGAAGTTGACAGTGACCAACTGAGAGCAGTCACTGAAGCTGATCCTCTTACAGCTACATGAGAAGTTGCCAAGGAACTCAGTGTTGATCATTGTGTGGTCATTTGGCGTTTGAAGCAAATTAGAAAGGTGAAGAAAGTTGATAAGTGGGAACCTCATGAGCTGACCAAAAACAAAAAAAATCGTTATTTTGAAGTGTGATTGCTTATTCTACACAATGACAACGAACCATTCCTCAATCGTATGTAACACATATGTACACATTCCTCGATCACATGTAACAAAAATTGGATTGTACATGACAACTGGCAGCAGTTTAGTGGCTGGACTGAGAAGAAGCTCCAAAGGACTTCCAAAGCCACCCGTGCACCAAAAAATGGTCACGGTCACTCTTTTGTGGTCTGTTGCCGGTTTGATCACTTCAGCTTTCTGAATCCCAGTGAAACCATTACATCTGAGAAGTATGCTCAGCAAATCAGTGAGGTACACCGAAAACCCTAATGCCTGCAACTGACATTGGTCAACAGAAAGGACCCAGTTCTTCTCCACAGCAGTGCTTCAGAAGCTGAACAAAATTGGGCTGTGGAGTTTTGCCTCATCTTCCATACTCACTTGACCTCTTGCCAGCAGATACCCACTTCTAAGTACCTTGACAACTTTTTGCAAGGAAAATGGTTTTACAACCAGCAGGATGCAGAAAATGCTTTTCAAGGGTTCATCGAATGCATGGGTTTTTACACTACAGGAATAAACTTATTTCTCATTGGCAAAAAATGTATTAATTGTAATGGTTCCTATTTTGATTAATAAAGATATGTTTGAGCCTAGTTATACTGATTTAAACTTCATGGTCTGAAACCGCAATTACGTTTGTACCAACCTAGTAGATATCATGTGAAATGTATTTAGAGAGAATCAGATGATTGGTTCTAAGTACCTTGTTAAAGCTTGTTCTGTAGCCACTTTGGAGTTATGTTTTGCAGATGATTGAGTATAGATGGAAAAAATTAAACTGACACGCCTAATAGTTGATGTGCTTCTGAGGTTAACTTCAGTATAATGTTAGCCTTATTAGTAAGTAAATAAAAGTAGATTGAGTGCCTGAGTAACTCAGAACAATTTTATATTTTATTTTCACATTGTGCCAAAGGCAGATAAGAAATAAGACTATCTCCCTTTCCCTACTCCCATTTCACTGTAGGCAAACAGGAACAGAAAGATTGCTTGGCTTGAAGTCCAGTGGTTTGTATTGGACTTACCTGGTCTCAAAAAACAAAACTTCTTGATTTATGATAGCTTCATTTTTCATGAATTATTTACTGTTCTTTGACTTTCTTTATTTAGAAGGTTCTTCTGGAGTTTCTAGTCTTTTACTCCAATCACAGCCCATGCCAGGTCCTGAAAAAGAGAATGTCCGGACTGTGGTGAGGACAGTAACTCTGTCCAACAAGCAAGGTGAGGTATAGGTAGATCTGAAGAGTTGTAAGTTACTACTTTTAAGTGGGAGAGCAGAATCCTTGGGTTTGGTGTTATTGGTGGATTTGCAGGGAGATTTTGAGTATGTTGATTGGATAGAAGGATGAGAATTAGTGCATTTGACTCTACTGTTTTATTAAAAGGTTGAAATTGTTAATCATGCCGCTTTCATATTTATATATTTAAGTTTTACATTGTTTATTTTATCCAACAAATTTATTGACTGCCCATTGTAGGTAAAGAACTATAATAAACCCTTTCATTTAGAGAGAAATGTAAAAGTTTTTTCCTTTAGTAGCTTTAAGTCTGATAAGGAATATGATAGAAGTAATTATAGTACGCAGATACATTTAAATATTTGTGTCATTCAGACAACAAAAAATTAAGAGCTCACTTCTTGCTGGATCAAGGAAGGTTATATAGGAGAGTTAGCAGTGAAGTAAAGTATGCTTTTATTTAACATATGGAAGTGTACAAGCAGAAATACAGATTGGGTTTTGTAACCAGTTGGTTAGATACAGTTTGTCTTTGTATTCTTGGTCACTGTTAATAATTGGGACTGTGTCATTGCTTCCTTTGGACTGTTCATTTGGTTATTTGAATTATTACTCAGTAGGTTGATTTTTTTTTTTTTCCTCTTTAAATGTCAGTAGTCTTTATTTCTCAAGACTGAGTTCTGATTTCCAAGAGACTTTCTTAATATCAGAGCATACTTTGTATCCATTAGTAGTTATTGAGTACAGGAAAAATTGGATAATGATAGAGAAATTCTGTTTTTGCCATTTTAGGGGACGAACCTCTGGTAAGATTGAGTCTAACCGAGAGACTGGGGAAACGAAAATTTTCAGTAGGTGAGATAAGTTTTATGCATATCCTTTGTTTTCTGCTTGCTTGTGCATTACTTGATATCTCCTCTAAAATCCTCTTTATACGGATGCCCAGTCAATGTTGATATTGACACCCTTGTATTTCTGGCTGAAAGCATGTATAAAATCTTTTTATGTATTTAACATGTGCAAAGTCATACAAATTTAAAGTTCAGTTCTTGAATTTATTAGTGCTGTTTTATACTTAGGGGAAGTATTTTACAATGTAACTATATTATTGTGTAGTGACTTTAGTGTATCTGTCTCAAGAGAGTTATTTTTAAAATCTTAACTGACTCCAGAGCTTCTTTCATAGTCTTATGTGCTTATGCATATGAAATCTTACCTGTTTTTTGTTTTGTTTTATACCATTCTTGCTGCCTGAGACATTTTAGGTAAAAAAATTATGGAAATAATCTCTTAATTCAGCATATGTGTTAACTTTGTGATTTTTTGGTTGTATATTTAAAGTATAAATAAGAGGAGACAGAAAAGTATACTCTGTATAGGGTCTTTAAAGTTTTTACAGAACCCTGCTAAGGTTTATCTTCAGTTAAGTGATCCAAAGAATAGTTTTTAAAAACTTCTGACATTTAAATAGCCTGTATTGACCAGTGTAATGTAATAAACCAGGAGTTAGGAATCTTGGTTTAGCTCCTGGCGCTATCCCTGACTGGTAACTTGGGGGTAAGATACAGCATCTTTCACAATCTTAGCTTTCTTATCTGAAATTGAAGAAAATGGGGTTTTGCCCTTTGGAGTCTTGATGTCACAGGAAATTTTTAAATTTTATGGTTCTTTTGCTATATTCCTAATCATCCCAGTTGCATTTAATCACAGAATCTACCTAGATTTCAGCAGTTGGCCAGTTACAAAGAGTTTTTTGTGCATGAAGAATTTTTTTTCATATATTTCTAAATCTTGAATTTCAGCTTGAATCAGGGTTTATAATCCTCCATTTTTAGTTTTAGTTATTTGGTAAATGTTAAGTTTGTGCTTTCTAGTTTTTTGTCTTCCTTCTCCTTTTTCTGGTATATTTTTATTCCTTTTCTAACATTGAGTCATAAGGAAGCTAGAAGGTGAACACATCATATACATGCAGAAAACGTGCAGAATTATTCTATATTGTATTTCTTGACCTTGCTGAGAGTTGCCTTGAGATCTTCAGCCGAGTTCCCTCTGTTAGGTGGTGACAGTGATCCTCCTTTAAAGCGTAGCCTCGCACAAAGGCTAGGGAAGAAAATCGAAGCTCCAGAGACGAACACTGACAAAGCACCAAAGAAAGGTACCTGTGTCCTAATACCCCTTGTGTGTGTGATCCTGCTGCTTGACTGTTGTGCCGTTAACAGGTATGGATTGTCATTCTTTTTGCTCAAGTAGATTAGATGATTATCTTCTCGTGTCTGTTTCATTCAGCAAACATTTGAAGGTTTACTCTGCTAGATCCTAGGTCACTGTTGGGTATAAAACACCATCACAGTCTTCAGGAGCTTGTAGTATCATGGTAGATAGGAATACTTACATGCATGTGATACATTCTGTGACAGAGACAGTGCATATGGGAGCACACAGGAAGGGCACCTGGTCTCACCACCTGTCAGGGAACGTTCCCAGAGGAAGTGATGTTGACACTTAGACCTAAAACATGGTTTATCCTGCTAAAGTTGAAGGGTAAGAGGCTGAGAGTGTAATACATACAAGGCACAGAGCTCAAGGGACTCAATTGTGGCTAAATCAGAATTGGAAAGGAGCATAACGGGAGAGGATGAAGGGACTGACTGGTCATACAGAGTCTTTTAAGCCTAATATGGCTTAAAATACTAGAGAGTTTGGGCTTATAGTAGCAAACAAGGATCAGGGTGCCCAGATAGGCATTTTAGAACCACCACCCTGTCTAAAATATGGAGAAGAGGGTTAAGAGTGCTCTCCAGGAAGGAGTTAGCACTCCTTCCTGTAATACAGGCTAGAGGAGGTAGTGGTGTAGATTTAGCGTTCTAGAAGTTGGTATGAAGAAGTGTGGACTAATCTGAGAGAGATTTGGGAGTTAGAATGACTTTATAGTTGAAGTTTTATGTATACAAAGAAGTAAGTGGTTGGGTTTTTATATTTTCCCCTTACATGACATGCAGTTGGAACAGTGGTGTTAAGTACTAAATAAATAAATAAATAAGGTGTTTTTTCCTTCTTATATTTAGTTTTAACTTCTCCTGAAGATAGGAAACTTCTTCCCACGTCTTCCCTAGCGCAAGAGGCTTTGATAAATAGACCTTCTTGTTTGGTCTATATTCGTTCTTATATTCTCAGACCTGTAAACAGAAGTTGCTTTCTTTCTTTGCAATCAAATTTTCTTCCCCGTTGCCTATTAATTACATTGAAGACTCATAGCTAAATAGTGTATTTCAAAAAGCAGAGTACTTTTTGATGCCAATAAGATTTCAGAATGTCATACAATAGCAAAACTATTCCCCGAAATTAAGTAGTTTCTGCTTTTCAGATGTAAGGAGGTGACTTTTTTTTTTTTGAGCTTTCCAAAGTACTCTAGAGATTCCATGATTTTCTATAAATCTTATCTGTACTGTGAAGAAGACAAGTTTTGAAGACCTAAAGAGATTTTTCAAAAGCATTTTCCTTAGAAAACAAGTATAAATCTGATTTGTAATCTTTGAAAAAGATTTTTGATCTGTAAGAAATCTAACCTCTTTTTTTAATCTTTTTCTTTTTTTTAAACAGTCCAAGTTTCCAAGTCTCTGAAGGAGCGATTAGGCATGTCGACTGGTCCAAACAGTGAGGAAGCAGCAGGTAGGTAAACCCTAATGCCAGCTCCTGATAGGTTTTCCTTTAAGAATCTTTTTCTCCAGTTTACCTTTTGAGTTAGGTTGAAGGTTATGGGTTTTTTGTGTGTTTATGGATTTGTTTGTTTTTTAAGTAATATTTTTCTCACTGGTATGAATTCTCTTTTCGTGGTTAAAGGTTTTCCTTTAAGAATCTTTTTCTCCAGTTTACCTTTTGAGTTAGGTTGAAGGTTATGGGTTTTTTTGTGTGTGTATGGATTTGTTTGTTTTTTAAGTAATATTTTTCTCACTGGTATGAATTCTCTTTTCGTGGTTAAAGATGGCAACATGATTTTTTTATGATAGCAGTAATAACTGGAAACTAGAAATAATCTATTCAACAAAAAGGAATTAAGATGGTTATGTGTTAAAATAGTTGCTGTCATGAAAAGTCATAGTCTGAACAATAATGATATGGAAAACTTAGCCCCTTGTTTTGAATGAAGAAAGGTTATGAAAGAGCACATAGTGCTTTTGACTTAGAGCAACATAAACTTTTTTGGTGAGAGGTGGGTAATAAGTTTATTTTCTTATTATAGAAACGTATTCCTCAGAAAATGTCCTTATGTGTGAGATGATTTCCAGTTTTATAAAAATAAAAATAAATGCCTGTCTCCTGGAGTTTGCTCAAATTCCTGTCCATTGAGTCTGATGCTGTCTAACTGTCTCAACTTCTGCCGCAGTCTCCTTTTGCCTTCAGTTTTTCCCAGCATCAGGATCTTTTCTATTGAGTCGACTCTTTGCATCAGTTGGCCAGAGTATTGGAGCTTCAGCTTCAGCATCAGTCCTTCCAATGAATATTCAGAGTTGCTTTCCTTTAGGTTTAGTTGATTTAATCTCCTTGCAGTCCAAGGGACTGTCAAAAGAGTGTTCTCCAGCACCACAGTTCTAAAACACCAATTCCTTGACTCTCACCCTTCTTTATGGTCCATTTCTCACATCCATACATGAGTACTGGGAAAACCATAGCTTGGACTATACGGATCTTTGTCAGCCAAGCAGTCCATATAGCTTGGACTATACGAATCTTTGTCTCTGCTTTCTAATACATTGTCTAGGTTTGTAATAGGTTTCTTTCCAATGAGCAAGCGTCTTTAATTTCATGGCTGCAATCACCGTCCACAGTGATTTTGGAGCCAAGAAAAGAAAATCTGTCACTAATTCCAGTTTTTCCTCTTATATTTGCAATGAAGTCATGGGACCAGATGCCGTGACCTTAGGTGTTTGAATGTTGAGTTTTAAGCCAACTTTCTCACTCTCCTCCTCCACCCTCATCTTTAGTTCCTTATCACTGTCTGCTATTGGAGTGTATCATCTGTATATCTGAAGCCTCAGATACTGATATTTCTCCTAGCAGTCTTGATTCTAGCTGGTGATTCTTCCTACTTTGGGAGTTTTCTATTTCTTCCTGTTATGCTGGGACTTCGGTATGATAGATTTAAACATGTATCTTTTCATTATGCTTAGTGTTCACTGGGAGTTCTGAATCTTTAAGGATTTAACTTTCTTAATTATAGAAAATATTCCTCTAACTTCTCTCAGTATGTCCTCTCCACCCTTTTATGTTTTCTCTTTATGAAATTCTTACTAGATGTGGGAACTTTCGGACATAAACTCCACATGTCTTAACCTTGCCTTCATGCTTTCCGTTCCTTTGCTTTTTGCCTCACTTTCTGTTATTTTTGCTTGGCTGTTTTCTGGATTAAGAATTGACGTACTTTTTCTGTGAAGGATTCAGTTCAGTTCAGTTGCTCAGTCGTGTCCGACTCTTTGTGACCCCATGAACCGCAGCATGCCAGGCCTCCCTGTGATTCACCAACTCCCGGAGTTCACCCGAACCCATGCCCATCGAGTCAGTGATGCCAACCAACCATCTCATTCTCTGTCGTCCCCTTCTGCCTCAATCTTTCCCAGCATCAGGGTCTTTTCAAATGAGCCAGCTTTTCGCATCAGGTGGCCGAAGTATTGGAGTTTCAGCTTCAACATCAGTCCTTCCAATGAACACCCAGGACTGATCTCCTTTAGGATGGACTGGTTGGATCTCCTTGCAGTCCAAGGGACTCTCAAGAGTCTTCTCCAACACCATAGTTCAAAAGCATCAATTCTTCGGCGCTCAGCTTTCTTCACAGTCCAACTCTCACCTGCATACATGACCACTGGAAAAACCATAGCCTTGACTAGACGGACCTTTGTTGGCAAAGTAATTTCTGCTTTTTAATATGCTGTCTAGGTTGGTCATAACTTTCCTTCCAAGGAGTAATCATCTTTTTAATTTCATGGCTGCAGTCACCATCTGCAGTGATTTTGGAGCCCAGAAAAATAAAATCAGCTGTTTCCCCATCTATTTGCCAGAAAAATAAAATCCACTGTTTCCCCATCTATTTGCCATGAAGTGATGGGACCAGATGCCATGATCTTAGTTTTCTGAATGTTGAGCTTTAAGCCAGCTTTTTCACTCCTCCTCCCCTTTCCTCAAGAGGCCCTTTAGTTCTTCTTCACTTTCTGCCATAAGGGTGGTGTTGTCTGCATATCTGAGGTGATTGATATTTCTCCCAGCAGTCTTGATTCCAGCTTGTGCTTCATCCAGTCCAGCATTTTTCCTGATGTACTCTGCATATAAATTAAATAAGCAGGGTGACAATATACAGCCTTGATGTACTCCTTTTCCTATTTGGAACCAATTTGTTGTTCCATGTCCAGTTCTAACTGTTGCTTCCTGACCTACATACAGGTTCTCAAGAGGCAGGTCATGTGGTCTGGTATTCCCATCTCTTTCAGAATTTTCCACAGTTTATTGTGATCCAAACAGTCAAAAGCTTTGGCATAGTGAATAAAGGAGAAATAGATGTTTTTCTGGAACTCTCTTGCTTTTTCAATGATCCAGCAGATGTTGGCAATTTGATTTCTGGTTCCTCTGCCTTTTCTAAAACCAGCTTGAACATTTGGAAGTTCATGGTTCATGCATTGCTGAAGCCTGGCTTGGAGAATTTTGAGCATTATTTTACTAGCGTGTGAGATGAGTGCAATTGTGTGGTAGTTTGAGCATTCTTTGGGATTGCCTTTCTTTAGGATTGGAATGAAAACTGACCTTTTCCAGTCCTGTGGCCACTGCTGAGTTTTCCAAATTTGCTGGCATATTGAGTGCAGCACTTTCACAGTGTCATCTTTCAGGATTTGAAATAGCTCAACTGGAATTCCATCACATCCACTAGCTTTGTTCGTAGTGATGCTTCCTAATGCCCACTTGACTTCACATTCCAGGATGTCTGGCTCTAGGTGAGTGAGCACACCATCGTGTGAAGGACTGGATGGTGAATATTTTAGGCTTGAGGTCCACACTCTCTCTTGCTGCAACTACTCTTCCACTAGTGTGAAAGTAGCCGTTTGCAGTATATAAATAAATCAGTGTGGCTGTGTTCCAGTAAAGCTTTATTTATGAAATATAGATCATTACCAGATTTGTTTGCTGACCCTGTTCTAGATGGCTGATTTTCTACTGGCCTTGCAGTATTGGTGTTTTTTTTTTTTTTTTTTGGTTAGATTTATTTTGTCACTTGGATTTTTATTTTTCAATAACTTTTCTTACTTAGTTCTCTGATTTGTCCTTTTCCATAGATTGATATCTCACATTTCTAAAGTTTTTTTTTTAATTTGTTGAAGTATACTCGATTTACAATGTTGCATTAGTTTCTGCTATACAGCAAAGTGATTTAGTTACACATATATACATATCCTTTTTCATATTCTGTTCCATTGTGGTTTATCGCAGCATATTGAATATAGTTTCCTGTGCTACATGGTAGGAAGCACTTTGTTATTTATCCATTCCATGTGTAATAGTTTGCATCTCCTAATTCCAAACTCCCAATCCATCCCTGTTCTACCCACGCCAGCACCCCCCTACCCCCTGCCCTGGCAGAGCCACAAGTCTGTTTTCTATGTCTTTGAGTCTGTTTCTGTTATGTAGATAAGTTCATTTGTGTCATATTTTAGTTGACATATGTAAGTGATAGTATATAGTATCTGTCTTTCTCTTTCTGGTATACTTCATTTATTATGATAGGTCCAGTCTCTAGGTCCATCCATGTTGCTGTACATGGTGGTACTTAATTCTTTGTTATGACCAAGTAGTCCTCATGGTAGCTGTGTATCACATCTTTATCCATTCATCTGTCAGTGGACATTTAAGTTGCTTCCATGTCTTGGCTGTTGTAAGTAGTGCTGCAATGAATATTGACGTGCCTTAACATTTTTGAATTCAGCTTTCTTCATATATATGCCCAGGAGTGAGATTGCAGGATTATGTGACAACTCTGTTTTTAGTTTTTTTGAGGAAGCTTCATACTGTTTTCCATAGTGGCTGCAGCAGTTTACATTCCCACAAACAGTGTAGGAGGGTTCCCTTTTCTCCACACCGTCTCCAGCATTTGTTATTTGTCAACTTTTTGATGATGGCCATTCTGACCAGTGTGAGGTATAGTACCTTACTTTAGTTTTGATTTGCTGTTCTCTAATAATTATTGATGTTGAGCATCTTTTCATATGCCTGTTGGTCAGCTATCTGTATATGTTCTTTGGAGAAATGTCTATTTAGGTCTTCTGCCCATTTTTCTATTGGGTTGTTTGTTTTTTATCATTGAGTTGTATGAGCTATTTATATATTTTGGAAATTAAGCCCTTGCTGATTGCATTATTTGCACATATTTTTCTCTCAGGCTGTAGGTTGTCTTTTTGTTTATGGTTTCCTTTGCTATACAAATGCTTGTAAGTTTGGTTAGGTCCCATTTGGTGGTTTAGTTTTTGTTTGCTTTTATTTCTTTTGTTTTGGGAGACCAACCTAGGAAAACTGGTACAATTTTATGTCAGAGAATGTTTTGCCAGTGTTCTTTTCTAAGAGTTTTATGGTGTCATGTCTTATATTAATAAACCTTTAAGCCATTTTGAGTTTTTCTTCTTTTTTTTTTTTTAGTTTTTCTTTGTATGTGGTATGTGAGTGTGTTCTGACTTCATTGATTTGTGAGCAGCTGTCCAACTTTCCCAGCACCGCTTGCTGAAGAGACTGTATTTTCTCCATTGTATATTCTTGCCTCCTTTGTCAAAGATTAGTTGACTGTAGGTATGTGGATTTATTTGTGAGCATCTATTCTGTTTTATTGATGGGGGTTTCTAATTTGACTCTTTTAATGAGTGTATGTGTTATTTTGTCTTCATTGTTTATCTTCATTCTGGGTTGTTGTGTTTTTTTTTGGTTCATTTTTAATGTTGCTTTTTCACAGTTTAGGTTTAGGTTTCTTCTGTGATTCTAAAGGTCTTTTTCCTGGCTGGGAGACCTATCTGTATAAGTGAGAGAGGGTACACCAAGTGCTGTCTTCTGTTGGTTATAGGCTAGAAGGCTGAGGGCTCATGTAATTGCTACAGAAAAAAGCCTTTGTTTATTTTCAGAGCGCAACTAACTGTTTTCTAGCTTTGCTTTTTCCTTTTCTCCCTCATCTCTCCTTTTTTTGCTTGGCATTTGGGAAAGCCTGAAATTTCCATGTTTTACTTCTCTTCTACCCAACATCGTTATAATGTGCTTCCTTTCCCTACGGAGTCTTCTCTTTTTAGAGAGCAGTTCTTAGGAGAAGGTCTCCATTGACCCAACTGTTCTGTAAATCATCCTTTATTTCTACCACTGTTAGTTTTCATACTAGTTTGGCAGATTTTTTTGTCTCTTTGAGAAAGAACAGATCTTACTCCTATACTTTTTATCTATTCTTCTGTTTCTATAATTTCAGACATCTTTGTGTCTCAGATTTCTCAAGATTTATGTTCTGCCACTGGCATCCTTGTTTTCTATTGCTATTGTGGATTTATTCTTTTAATGTCTTCTCTGTTGTTTTGATGAAATTTTGGAGTGTAGGGAAATGGGGTCTTTGTGTCACCGTTCATGTACTTTCTTAAAGTGATAATTTTGAGATCAGATTACCATCTTGAAATTGAAGAATTTTTATTTAAAAAAAACTTTAGAAATATCAGTGAGTGAGTGCTTCCCCTGTAATAGGTTCTATACTAAAACAAATATAGTCACTGTTTTCACGAAGTGGAAATACAAGCAATTAATGTACTGTGTGATCAGTACTGTGATCAGAGAAACAAACTAGACTGGAGGATGTCAGGTTCTAAGCTGAGCTCACTTTAACTAGGTAGCAGAAGTGTGACCAATAGGGACTGTTCCATGTAGAAGGGACAGCATTTTCAAAGATTCAAAAGATGAGACAGAATGTGCTATGTTTAAGGTTGTAGAAGATATTTTTTGTTTTTGGTGTTTCATTAAAAGGTGTTATTTAGTGATTAAATATGTGTGTGTATAATCTCCATATTCTTATTTTTCTCACATTACTTCATTATTTCTTTCTTTAACCCCTGCCAAATATGAAATTTGCTCTTTAGTTAAACACATAAAGAATGATTAATGTATTGTGAAAAATAACTCTTCAGTGGTATGCCAATCTCTGGGCCTTTTTCATTTTTCTTCTGTCTTAACCTGTTTTACCTCCTTTTCATTCTTTAAATATCACTTAAATATTACTTACTCTGAAAAGCTTCCCTTAACCAATCTCTAGATGTTCTTGCTGTATACTTCTACATAGCATTATTTAGTTGCCTTCAACCACATGGGTTTGAACTGCATGGGTCCTCTTATATGCAGATTTTTTTTTCCCAGTAAGTACTTAACTACAGTACTACCTGATCTGTGATGGTTCGTTGAATCCACAGATGCAGAACCATGAATGCAGAGCCCAATTGTAAAGTTGTATATGGGGGTTTTCAACTGCACAGGATTTGGTGCCCAGATAATCCCACCCCAATCCCTGCGTTGTTCAAGGGCCAACTGTACTTCTTTTATCAAAGCTGTTATTATTAGCACACTTTGTTGTTGCTTGATTATTGGTTTGTTAGACTGCAGACTACATGTGTGGGCAGTTTGCGTTTTGCTTACCATTATATTTCTAGTGTAATATCTGGCAGATGTTTGTATCTATCCATGGATGGAAGAACTGATTTATTCTTTTTAGTAAGATTTATAATGACAGCCTTCTCCAACTAGTAAAAGGCTTTCAGGATCCTCAAGAATAAACTTCTGAATAGAAATCCAGATCAGTCATTTTTGCCTCCTACATGTTATCCTTGAGGACCACTATCTAAAATTGAGGTTGAAACTAATGTGCTTTTGTTCATTTTAATTTCTTGCCTAAATTACACAACTCTTATTGGACTCTGTCCTGATCCAAGAATAGAGAGATCAAAGTTGTTAAGAGATGAACTCCAAATCCAGTGATTTGTTTTTCCCCCATGAAAACAGAGAAAGTTACTAAAGTTGGTGAGATCCATGTGAAGACATTAGAAGAAATTCTTCTTGAAAGAGCCAGTCAGAAACGTGGAGAATTGCAAACTAAACTCAAGACAGAAGGACCTTCAAAAGTTGATGATTCTACATCAGGAGCAAGAACCTCCTCCACCATCCGAATCAAAACGTTCTCCGAGGTCTTGGCTGAAAAGAAGCACCGGCAGCAGGAAGCAGAGAGACAAAAGGGCAAAAAGGACATGAGCTGTGTCAAGCTAAAGACTGACAGTGAGATGAAAAAAACAGTGATTTTGCCACCCGCTGTCGCCAGCAGAGGACAGTCCGAGGAACCTGCAGGTCGAGCAAAGTCTATGCAGGAAGTGCACATCAAGACGCTGGAAGAAATTAAACTGGAGAAGGCTCTCCGCGTGCAGCGGAGCCCTGAAAGCAGCACCAGCTCCCCGCCTCAGCCTGAGGCCACGCCAGCGGCAAAACGGCTTCTCCGGATCGCTAAGAAAACAGGTGACACGAGAATTTGATCTGTAGCACCGTTTCCCCAGATAATATTTCAAATGGCAGTACTCCACACAACATTCATGGGATTTCTGTGAGAACTTTTTCTTTACTCAGATAACTTTGAAAACCACTGGATTAAAAGAAATTATACTGGTCCAGTGGTTAGGGCTCTGTACTTCCACTGTAAGGAGACATGGGTTCCATCCCTGGTTGGGGAAGTAAGATCCTGCAAGCCATGTAGCACCCCGCTCCCCTCTCCCCCCACACACACAAAAAGTGAAGCTGTTTCTTTATGGCAGTGTTATATAGAGCTTTGATATCTTAATGTGCATTTTTAATCTGTATGAGAATTGAACAAATTTTGTCTACAGTTTTATATGGCCTATCTTTATTCTTTAAAAAAAAATTTTTTTTACTTGATTTATTTTTATTTTTAGCTGTGCTGGGTCTTCGTTGCTGCATGCGGGCTTCCTTTCGTTGTGAGCAGCGGCTACGCTGGTTGTGGTGTGTGTCCTGCTGCCTGTGGTGGCCTCTCTTGTTGCAGAGCGCAGGCTCTAGGGCGCTCAGACTTCAGTAGTTGTGGCATTCAGGCTCAGTAGTTATCATAAGAGCTTAGTTGTTCCGAGGCATATGGGATCTTCCCCAGATCAGGGATTGAACCCGTGTCTCCTGCATTGGCAGGCGAATTCTTAACCGCCTTGTTAAGAGGACACCAGAGAAGCCCTTGTTGCTTTTTTGAGAAAAGTTTTATTTAACTTCATCTGTTATTAAGTTGCAGTATGAATGAAATTATTAATGGTGCATTTAATGTGAATCTAGGTATACAAGAAGAGAAGAAGCTCCAAGAAGAAAGTGATGTTGCTTCTCAGAGCAGTGTTTCTAGAGCAGAAGCTAAAAAGGTGGGTTTATTTAGATTGATTTTATAGGTTTGTCCATGGCAGGAAAAGGTTAGATGAATGGTAAGTGTTCTTTTAAGTTTCTGTTTAACACTTCACTGATATATCAGGTTAACAGTCTTTCAGTGTGCTTGTAATTTTCCTTCAGAGTTTTCTATACTTTTATGTGTATCAGTATTTAATGCCCTTTTAAGTTGTTTTTGAAAAGTGTTAGTTGCTCAGTCCTGTACCACTCTGCAACCCCATGGACTGTAGGCCGCCAGGCTCCTCCATCCATGGGATTTTCAAGGCAAGAATACTGGAAACTTTTTAATTGGCCATTAATATTTTTTAAAGTAAGTTTTTCCCCTGCCTTTCAGAGTAATGCTACTTATTTGTAAAACTTGGGATTTAAGAATAAGTAACCCCTTAATTGTACAATCCAGATGTTACCACAGTTAGTTTTTGTCTGTTTGGCTGCCTCTGGTGTTAGTTGTGGCATGCAAGACCTCCATCTCGGCACGCAGGCTTTTCATTGCAGCGAGTGGGCTTCTCTTCAGCTGTGGTGAGTGCCCACCAGGGCTCAGTAGTTTCAGCACTTGTGGTGCTTAGGCTTAGTGCCCCCTCCCCCACCCCGCATGTGGACTCCTTCGCCAGCTGGGGATTGAACCCACGTCCCCTGCATTGGATGGCAGATTCTTCTTAACCATTGGACAAGCAGGGAAGTCCCTCGGCCTCTTCTTCATATATTTACGTCTGTGAATGTGTTTAATGTCTAACTCATATTTACAACATAATTGAGAATTCTACAGTGTGTCATTTTGCAGCCTACTTTACCATATTAATGATTCTTTAAGGTGATAGCTTTTACTGGTCATTTAGGCAATGGCACCCCACTCCAGTACTCTTGCCTGGAAAATCCCATGGACGGAGGAGCCTGGTAGGCTGAAGTCCATGGGGTCGCTAGGAGTCGGACACAACTGAGCGACTTCACTTTCACTTTTCACTTTTCATGTGTTGGAGATGGAAATGGCAACCCACCCCAGTGTTCTTGCCTGGAGAATCCCAGGGATGGGGGAGCCTGGTGGGCTGCCATCTATGGGGTCGCACCAAGTCGGACATGACTGAAGTGACTTAGCAGCAGCAGAAGCTGTGTCCTCTTACACAAATATAGTCTGTTTTAATAGGGGGCTTCCCTGGTGGCTCAGACAGTAAAGAATCCACCTGCAGTGTGGGAGACCTGGGTGCACTTCCTGGGTCAGGAAGATCCCCTGGAGAACAAAATGGCTACCCACTTTGGTCTTCTTCCCTGGAGAGTTCCATGGACAGTACAGTCCATGGGGTTGCAAAGAGTAGGACATGACTGAGCAACTAGCACTTTCACTTTCACTTCTGTTTAATATAAAATAAAAAGCAAAAGCTCTTGTATTGTGGATCATATCTAGAAACTGCTTGACTTAGATGTTAGCCTGTTAACTTATAAATAATAATTATCATACAGATTGTTAGAGGTAGTAGATTTTTAATTCTGTCATTTAAATTTATCCACAGGCTTCAGATGAGACCACAACAGTTGGCATGACTAAAATTCAAGTCAAGAGATGTAAGACAATGAGAGAAAAGTATGTGCCGAAACTGCCAGAGAAGGGAGCCTCACAGAAGGAAAAATCAATTTTGACACCCTTTCGGGGAGATTTACTCTCTTACACTACCGAGTTAGCAGAGAAACCGGTGCTCACCACCGTGCTAGGCATCACACGGCACCTGACTAAACGGCTTCCTTCAAAGTCATCCCAGAAGGCAAAGGTGGAAACCTCAGGGATTGGGGACTCGATATTGAATGTGAAGTGTGCAACACAGCCCTTGGAAAAGCGAAGTAAAGGTGAGTGTTTTTACTAGCGCATCTTTCTGTAGAATTTCAGAATTAGCAAGTTTCAGTGACTGCCTGGCAGTAATTGGCTTGAATTTCATTTGCCTTTGTTTACTGGTCACACAGGTGGGTAATGATATTTCTGATAAATCTGTTTTTAAAAAACAAAAAGACTAGATGAGTTCCTTTCTCACAATTTAAAATTGATCTTTATAAAGCTTTATCTAAAACTTTGCATGGTGCATTTTTTCCCTCTGGTTTTGAAGGAGAGAAACACTGGGGAAATGAAGATCTGTAGCAAATTCAAAAGCCACTGAAATGAATTGTTTCATGAAATAAATATGTATGTGTGTGTGTGTTTATGGCTGTGTGTATTACATATTGCTGATGGGTCATCTTTAATCTGGTTTTCTTGTTTAGTTGGTTTTTAAATTATTTGTGATATTACTATTGCTGAGAAGGAATTTTGATATTCCAAATTTTATTCTCCATGTAAAAAGGGGATTATTTTAGCTTTTAATCAGATATTTTCTGTCTTATAGCTAAACCTAAAGTGAATGTGAAGCCATCTGTGGTTAAAGTTGTCTCATCACCCAAATTGGTCCCAAAACGTAAGGCGATGGAGGTCCACCCTGCTGTCATTGCAGCTGTGAAGCCACTCAACTCCAGCAGTGTCCTGCAGGAAAGCCCAGCCAAAAAAGCAGCTGTGGTAAGAAGTAGATCAACTCAGGGGTGCTTTAGTCTGTGTGATAGGAAAGCAGGGAAGATTCTTTTTTAGCTGTCTATATTATGTGTAATATCTTCTGTCACTTCCTAAGTATTTTTTTTAGTTGTTCAGGTAATTACTATATTTTATATTTACAGCTTAGGCAGGATTTGGGTGGGGGGGGGCGGTTAAGCCTAATTATAATATTTTGCTTATTTGTGCATTCTATCTTTGGATTACTGATTCTTGGATTGATTCTTGGATTCCTAGTCTTAAAGAATGGTAGCCATGATTCTAGTGGAAAAAAGTGAAAGTTGCTCTGTTGTGTCCGACACTTTGCAACCCCATGATTCTAAGAAGACAGCAAAGAAAATGAATCTGCTCAAATTTAAAAGTCTGACTTTCCCACTGAGTTACCTTACTCTCACTTTTGTAGGCTATTGTCCCACTTCTCTCTGAGGACAAATCAGTCATTGTGCCTGAGACAGAAAAAACTAGAGACAGGTAGGTAATACCTTGCAATTCTTTTTAACCAAATTTTAGGCCACTGTTACCGTTTTTGTTTTCTAGAGAATAACACTGCTAGATAATTTGAAATATTTACAATTTAGCTACATCTAAGTAAATCTGTTAAACTTCAAATTAACTGCAAGAAAACCTCATATTCAGGGTTGCTGTTCTCTTTTGATGCTATTGTTTGTATTTTGCCTGTATTATTAAAAAAATGTTTTTAAACACCTATCTGAATTCTTTAAAGGATGAAACTGGTTTATCCCAAATCAGTAAAACAGTTCTTTGTGTTTTCTCAAAAACAAGTCTTCACTAAAATTCTTTGTGTACCTGGGACCAGGTGATCTGACCTGCCAACCATTCACAAAAGCGCAGTTACCTAATAACCTTTTGGGTTTTTTTCTTACAGTTTTCTACTGCCTCCAGCCCAGTCCTCTTCAGAGCCTCCCACCCCGGAAGTATCTGGCCCTTCCTCATCCCAAATGGCCACAAAAACGCGCCGACTCAGCTCTGCCTCAACAGGAAAGCCCCCACTTTCTATGGAGGATGATTTTGAGAAACTAATATGGGAGATTTCAGGAGGCAAATTAGAAGCTGAGATTGACCTGGATCCTGGGAAGGATGAAGATGACCTTCTGCTTGAGCTATCAGAAATGATTGATAGCTGAAGGTGGTAGTAGAACATTTAAAGCAGAACAGACAAACAAAAAAACTCACCAAAAAACTGGACTTAGTTTCATCTATTATAACATTTATCTAAAATGATGATTTCTTTAGTCTAGAGTTTGCCCCAAATCAGAAGTGTACCTCTGAATTATCCACATGTGTCCTGGATTCCTTGGGGTCAGATTTTTAAATCCCTTGGTAATCATTTTGTCCATTTGATGCCATTGTTCAGCATCTTCGAGAAAAAAGTTCTGTCTTACCCCTCTCCACAAAAAGGCTGAGTGGGAGACCTAAGTGAAAAGGTGCAAGAAAACTTAGTGACTCCTTGAGGTATTTGTCAGTTTTTACCTTTTTTCCCTTTATTGTATAATTTCTTTTATCTGTTGTCTTAATGTACCTGTTGTTAACCTGAGTTCGAAAAGGGTGAAGATGGCTGCTACCATTAAGGACCAAATTTCATGCCACCACTAAAAAAAATCCACTCAGTCTGTGTTAAATTGTATGTCTTTTTAAAGGTATTTGGAGAATTCAACTAAGCTTTTAGAAGCAGCTGAGCAGCTCAGGAAACCTGTAATCTGGACATAACTTTTTGGACCTGATTTTCATGCTTCTGCTCTGTAAGCCTCTGAAGGGCAATAGCTAATTTATTATTACTGTAATTTTTCAAGGCTTTAAAGTGCCTCAGGGGTCCTCTGAAACTAATTTTCTATTTCTGGGATTCCCTGGATTCTTAAAAAGAGATGGTGACATAATGATTACAGGAATTTATTTTTTAGCAACAAAGTTGTCCCTTCTCTTCTTCAGTACTTGCTTCCTTACTAGTGTTGTATTATCACAGGGATAGAAATTGGTTAATTTTTTTTATTTCTAATTCTCCTTGCAAACTCCTTTTGCCCAGTATTTATTTGGTGCCCTTTACCCATATGAGGGGGAAGAACAAGCTCACTCAAGCTGCCGTTACTTATCCATGGACTACAGCAGTACCCGGAATCGTACTGTAGCAGGAGTTACCAAGATGCCCTGGGGGTGTATTGTATGCCTTCCGGTTTTCTTCATTTCTGAATTGAATTTTCTTTTATTGATGTTGATCTCCTTCATATCACCTCAAGGTTTAGACTTGTGAAGGAACAAATACGATGGGGATAATAGTCTTGAAAGGAGACATATTGTACATAATCAAAAGGAAGAGGAAAGGACCTGCCCATTTTGATACTTTGCTGTAGGTGGCCAGTTTTGTTTCTCATAGGGAAATCTGACCTACCTGTCATGTTGGCTCCTAAGGAACTGCTGTTGTAAGCGGCTCATCAAGAGTTGAACCTCATGTAGCCTTGTTGGGAATATGAAAAGGAAGAAAGCCACAGGACTGCCCAATTCAGTCTTGGGAAGATCTGGATGATTCTACACAAGCAAAAATGACTTGAAATTTATGTATAGATACTTATCTACCAGTCCATCTTCAGCTGACTGAATGTTGTCTAATAGCCCTTCTCCAAAGCAGGGGTGAAATGTTCTGGTTTCACCACAGATTTTCTACTCATTTCATTTTTGGAATTGGCTTGTAGATTCCAGGTCCCTTTTGTATATAACCTTTTTTCTTTTGCTTTTTTAGAAAAACAATTTTGTTTCATATTTAAAGTCTTGTGTTAGACAGTGATTCACGTTCACCATTATTTGAACAGTTTGCCATTACAGCAAGATAAATACTTATTTGTGTTTTAAATAAAACTGGTGTAGGAACACCTTGATGTTGTGAGTTAAGTAGTCGTACATCACTTCAGGCTGAGATCTGCCTCAATAGAGGCCCAATTAGAATGTTGTTGAACCTTTGTGTACGTGATCCAGTTTCACAGATTGTATTTGTCTTTAGAAACCTTTTACAAGGACACACTGCCACACTTCTCCATATGTGAGGATTTTTTTCTGACAGTGATGCTTACCCATTATTATTCTAACTCAAGTAATGTCATTAATTCTTTTAAAGAAGAGAGGGTTTAGAAATGATCTTAGATAGCTTCAGCAATTTAGAATTTTCAAGCATGAACACATATATGAAATTTTTAGTTCAGGGAAGTCCAGTTTTTTGTTATGGAAATACACATAAATTTGTTAACCACCAAAGAATATAGGCCTTCCCAGATGGCGCAGTGGTAAAGAATCTGCCTGCCAATCAGTTCCTGGGTTGGGAAGATCCCCTGGAGTAGGAAATCGCAACCTGCTCCAGTGTTTTTGCCTGGAAAATTGAATGGACAGAGGAGCCTGCTGGGCCAGGGTCCACAGCATTGCAGAGACATGACTGAGCACACACACAATATAAATTTTTCCACATAGCCTAAAAGTCGTCCCCAACAAATTGAATCAACTTTTCCCAGAAAGCAAAAGATTGCATATTCAGTTTTGAGCGATGATGGTTTTCAATTTTAACAGGAAAAAGGTCCAGATGTACAATTTGGCCATAGCCAGAGATTTCAAAATAACTTGCAGCTTGTGTGTTTGTCTCAATAAATGATCCCTCAAAGTTCTGGCCTTAACCTCAAATTCCAGTGGTCCTCTCTCATATGGCCAGAACATAGTTTATGTTCCTTATGGCCAGTCTTTGGTCAGTGTTTAAATACAGTTTCAGAAATAAACTTGTTCTCTATACTGGTCAAAGTTTTATGATCCTCTTCTAAAATTGTGGCTTCATTTTGCCAGAATATTTCTGCAGTTCTTTAAAATATTTGCTTTTGTCAGGAGCCAAGAGGAACTGTGTGGTCTTCAGTTGCTATGTAACACCACTTTAAACTAGCTAACATGTACTGAGTACTTATTATGTGCCTGTTAATTCACATATCTGTTTGACATTCATCCTATACTGCATTGGAAGATTACTGCTTTTTATCCCCACTGTAGTGTCAAAATCAGTATTTTCAGATATAACAATAAGAAAGTATATTTTTTATCTGCAGTTGGGTTTGATTTGTTGAACCTTTCAAGAACTTGATTAAATCAGATCTTTGAAAGCTGCTGAATAAATATATGGAAGTATCCACAGGTTATACATCTGACTGTATTAAAAATTCTCATTGAATTTGCGAAATAAAGCTACAGCCATCAGTGCAAAAATACTTAACCATTTTCTTAACGTTTTACAATAAAAGGGTCAGAGTATAAAAATGGCCCCAAATAATAGCAATTAAGAATTTATGTTTTTACCCAAATAGGCAAATAAAAGCCCAAGGTGGCTCCATTCTTTTCAGGTTAAAAAAAAAAAAACACATATTTTTTAAAATAGGAGTCACTAAGTAGGCCTATTAGTAAAGTCTGGTTGGATATGACTGGGAAGGTGTTGCTGCACTGGAGTCAGTGGGAATGAGCAAAAAGCAGTGGGTTAAAACTCAGTTATGCCTGTTCCTAGGCTTTTTGTTCTAGATTCTGTGACCGCTTTGTCTTCAGATAGGAAGACAACAGCCTGTTAAGCCGAAGGGTAAACTCACCCAATACTGAGAGTGCAGAGCTGGAAAAATGCTCCAGTAAAAGATTATTGTAGGACTTCGCTGGTGGTCAGTGGTTGAGATTATACGCTTCCGCCACAGCAGGCACAAGTTTGATCCCTGGTCAGGGAACTGAGATTCTGCATGCCATGGCCAAAGAAAAAGCGACTGTTTGCTGAATAGACAAATGACTGAGATAGGGCATTGGATGGAGGAAGAGAAGTTTAAGGGAAAAGAGAAGTTAAATAGATGGATCCCTTCCCTGGTAGGTGTATTTGTTAATGAGTTCACTTATTTGGCTTGAGAGGTCAAGGAAGATAGTCAAGTTTAGAAAAACTGAGGAAAACATTGGCATAATTGCCACAGAAGTATTTTGGACTACCCTCCCTTGAAGAGGCTCAAATTAGAACACAAACTTACCATCATTAAACACTGCTGGCCACTAGGGACAGAATTTATGAAGCAAACCCCAGCTTTGAAATACTTTTAAGGAAAAAGTAACAGGAGTGAAAATGGGTATAAGTATTAAATGGATGATGGTATTTATAGAGGTTCCCAGGTGGTTCAGTGGTAAAGAATCCACCAGCCAATGCTAGAGATGCAAAAGATGTGGGTTCAATCTCTGATTCAGGAAGAACTCCTGGAGTAGGAAATGGCAGTATTCTTGCCTGGAAAACTCGATGAACAGAGGAGCTTGGCAGGCTACAATCCATAGGGACGCAGCGTCAGACACCACTGAGCAAGTGAGCACAAAAAACATCTATAGAGAGGATGATGAGAAATTAAGAGTTCCAGAGACTGGTCAGAGGAGGTTTCCTTGCAATATTAGATCTGGAATTTTGTGTAGTTTAGTAAAGGAGATGAAGGAAGATGTATTTTAAATGTGAATTGGAGTCACTGCTCATAAAATCCTCATGTGCCCTCCCCTTCCCTCCAAAATTAAACTCAAGTCCCTTAGCACAGCATGCAAGGCCCTGTTGTACTAGCCTCTTCCATCATTCACCCTTCATGCTCTACACGAGCAAAACTACTGGCTTCCTAATTTGACTACACTAATCTCACTGTTTGCCTTTGTTAATGCTATCTTCTCTTTTTCTCGTCTTTTCCTCTGCAACTCCTACATACTATGCAACTTGCGGATTACCTCTCCCAATACCCCGTTCTCCCTCTTCCAAACTGGGGTCTGGTGCCTATCTTCTAGGCCATACTTTGTTTAACCTTCATTGTTTTGAAACTACCTGTCCTCAGCAGAATATACACTGCGTCAGAGGTTCTTACTAACCTATGTATTCTCAGCACCTAGTACCGATCCGGCACAGAGAAGGAATGCCACAGCCTGGGTGGCTTAAACAACAGAAAGGTATTTTCTCATAGTTCTGGAGGCTAGAATCCCACCATCATGGTGTTGGCTAGTTTGGTTTCTTCTGAGGCCTTTCTCTCTGGCTTGCAGATGGCCCCCTTCTCACTGTGTCCTCATATGAGGCATAGTCTTCCCTCTATGCCCATGTCTGAGGCTTTTGTTTATATTTATT